CTCTCTCTCTCTCTCTCTCTCTCTCTCTCTCTCTCTCTCTCTCTCTCCTTCAATAATAAAAAAACATAAACTCCTGGCAACCGAGGCTTCATTAACTCACCCCTCTAGAGGCCTGCATGCAAATGAGCAGTGTTTGCTTTGCACATCAATGAGCCACGTCACACTCAATACAGAATACCAATCTATCTCACACATGCACACACACATGAACATATAGATGTACAGAGTCTCATAAAAGCATATATACAGTACTACATTAGTACAAAGGAAGGAAGGACAGAAAAAGGAAGAGCAGTAAAGAGACAGACAGACCAAAGATAGAGATGGGGCAGCATGTGCTGTGTCTCCATCCATCATAGTAAGTGTTATGTGGCTCTGAGCTGTCTGGGTGCTGTGTCATTACATCCATAATGTCTGTTGCCTCTCACAACACACGCTATCAATCACACGCATGCACACATACAAACACATGCCTACAAACACACACGCAGGTTATCGAGTGTTTCAGGTAAAATTAAACAAAGTTCACTGCTAACCCATTACAAGCCATAAAACCACTCCTCAGTATCTGTTACTAAAGCCCAGCACGGCTGGGTGTTCTGGCCTCATATTTGCTCATGCGTCCCACTAAGCGAGTGGGCAGACACTGAGCGGACTTGTGTGCGTGAATGTACACATGTCTTGGACAGTCTACAATGGCTTGCACATATGTCCATTGATCATTATTACAGAATACACACACTGACATGTACACAAAATCTGATAACAGTAATGCATATTTTTTGAGCAAGTATGTCTGTCTTTTTAGTACATGAAGTTTGATATGAATTTGTGTGTTTTTTTAGCCACCATTGTGCTGAATGAACTTAACTGGTCGGAGGCATTGGAGGACGTGTTTAGAAAGAACAGAGAGGATGACCCGACCCTTCTCTGGCAGGTGTATGGCAGCGCTACGGGCCTGGCTCGCTACTACCCAGGTAATTAAACAACCACAAAAACAGTCTTTGCCTTTTACCACAGGAGATAAACATTTAAGAAATAGTAAGAAAACTCTGGTAGATTATTTGGCCTCCTAAATTGTTTGTGTATCTCTTCATATGACATTGAAGTTGTGTGCATTTCCTTCCATATCAAATCAGAGGCTCACTCATCAGCCGATTATGATTCGGTTGACCTACAGTAAGATGCAGGGTGTGGATTTTAATCAAATCTACAAAACAGCCAGAGAACATATTCATGAGTTTGCTTGTTCCCACAGCACTGAGCAAATAAGTTCAATAAATAATCTTCCTGGCTCAACTTGCATTGATTTTATATGTGGTGCCATAGATGGTGTCATGTTATCTTTAACTGCATTAGTGTAGTGCTGCTCACTATCGGGAGTGTTTTCTCTGCCAAGCTATTTCTATTCATGAGATTCCCTGTCATCATTGACACGATATAGCTTTATGGGAAAGGTTTATGTCTAATATTCATGAATTTTCATGGGCGTTGAATTTATTCCTCTTTGTTCCTTTTTTTCCCTTTTTTAAGCTCTTAGCATGCATGATAGGCAGTCACACACTCATACTGGCTTGTTTTCATGGTGCTCCTCACTAATAGTATACAGATAGAAAGCACCTGATTAATGTCAAAGCAAGTGATTTCTGTGCATCTTGAAAGTATTTTATCTCATTTTCCCTGCTGTTTACCTCTGATCGTGAGCATAAAACATGTTGGAATGTAGAAGGGGTGGGATTTCATCCAACAAGCCATGATGGCACAAAAAAAAAAATCTATTTTTTATATCTTTGCAAAATGTCTGACAGGGACTAGGCACTGCTGGGCTGAATATTACACTGTATGTAGCCAGATATTTGCAGATCAACACTTCAGTGATAGTCAACACATATCTTATCTCCTCTGAAAGCTTCTCCTTGGATGGATGCGCGCAAGACCCCCAGTAAAATTGACCTGTATGATGTCCGCAGGAGGCCATGGTAAGACAACTGCTAGAAAAACTACAAGTAGCATGACGTTGATTAAATGTTGGTCAGAATTCAAGCCAAACATTTCTAATTTGATGTGTTCAGGGGTATATATGATTTTTTTTTGTATTATGTAGTTGGTTGGTTGGTTGGTTGTAGGTGTTTATGAATAAATACAATTTTTAGTTATAGTAAGTGCATGAAGGGCTGGGTGATCAATAAATATTATTGATCAACTTTATTTTGACAAATATAGTCATATTGTGTACTTTCTTTACAAAATTATGTTTAATTGATGAATCCAAGCTAATTTTATAAATTGTAAAATTGAATTTAAAGTTCTGAAAAAGGTGCGAAGTAGACTTGATTTCTTTGTGATGTAATATCAAAGTTCAAAGTTCAAAGTTAGCTTTATTGTCAGTTCCACAATATGTACCGAACATACCGAGAAGTTGAAAAAATTATGTCAATTATGTCAAAATGAATATGTCATATCATAACATATATGTCATAATTCGTATCGATATTTGAAGTATTCTTATTAGCATTGGTATATTAATTTCAGCAATATTCCCCAGCCCTGAATATATGTTGACCTAATATGACTCAAGAGTATATTTTGTAGGCAATATTGTGTTCAAAATATATTATTATAAATGACACAGTGTTGGCTTTCAAAACATTTTTGAAAGTGTGTGTATGTCTCACACCAGCTTTTCCTTCATTCATTAATGTCCTTCTAGGTACATTCAAGGAGCTGCCTCACCCAAAGATATGCTAATCCTTGTGGATGCGTGAGTTACTTTATAGCCTCATTGATCCATAACCTTCTCACATCAGTCATGATTTCCCCTGGTTATAACACATGCCTTCCTGGAATTACCACATAATGTAATGCAGTTCCCAAGGCAGACGCATTTGTAATTATATTGAGCACAAAAACTGAGCAGACAGATTGCAGTGAGAAGCTGTTGGGTATCTTTTGTTGTTGTTGCAGAAGCGGGAGTGTGTCTGGCTTGACTCTCAAACTGATCAGGACCTCCGTGAGTGAGATGCTGGAGACTCTGTCTGATGACGACTACGTCAATGTCGTTTATGTGAGTATTATTAAACCCATCACTGACTGTTGAGTGGTCTGTTTGTGCGAGGCGACGGGGAACACGATGCACGCTGAGAAAAGGGGCAGAGTGACGGACGGATTCAGAGTGTGCGCATGAATGGGCTTGTGTACATTTGAATGGAGATACACACATGAAGACATTGTGCACATAACCAGCACATACATTCACATACACACAAGAGAGACAGAGATGGATGACAAGTAATGAAATATGGATTTCTCTCAGGTCTGGCCACCCTGAAACAAACCTTTAATGAAATACCCACAGCTCTATTTGGTGTACAGGATTAAAACTCTGCACTACATGCCCCTACCCCACCGCCTTACCCGTGTATGTGTGTGTGTGTGTGTGCGTGTGCGTACGCATGTGTGTACATTCCCGCTTCTCCTATAGGTATTATATCCGCACTTCTTGGAAACACTCATTCATCACCCTCTTGATCAGTCCATCACTTTTTCCTTTCATCATTGAGTCGTGCAGTTCCTCTCAGCATTTTGCCATACACCTCCATACATCTCTTTGTGTCAACGAAGGATCACCTTGTACACGACACGCTCCGCCTCTTCTTTGTACATAACTACAACTTTCCTCCTCTCACTGCCTCCACTTTCTTCATCTTCGTTCTTATTTTCCTCACCCACCAATCTCTCTTATAGCCCCCCCCCCCCCACCCCCATTCCACCTTTTTATTCTGACCATCTATTCTAGCTCTTCCACACTTGTGATAACACTCAAAAAGAGCCAATCAGATGACTGTGTGATACTAAAATGGGTTCCTGTGAAGGTGTTTATTGAGATGGGTCTTTATAAAGATTGGAGCTGTCTTCTTTCTCATTGCACAAAGACAGCCATTCAGTCTCTGTTTCCTCTCTCCGGGGACCCTTTGTCTTGGACACAATGTATTCTGTTTCACGGTGGACTTGTGATTCTGCAAAGATGTGCAATTATCGGAAGCTGTCGAGGAGCTCAGTGTGTGTGTGTTTATGTGTGTGTCTGAGAAAGTGAGATTAGTTCAAAGAGTGAAGTCCAATTCAGTTTTAACTTAGAACTTTTTTGTTTAAATTGTTTTCCTACTTTCCTCCAAAACTGCATTACACTGACTGCTGTTAGCGGTCCCAGGAAAATGAAAGGCACCCATTTAAAGGTGCTAAAAGAATCATTTACATTTATTACAATTTGGGTCTTTAAATGTTTAGCTTTGGCCAATGTTTCAGTAGATTACAATTGTCCTTACCAGAGTCATTTCTGAAATCTGGGAATACTTCGACATTGCTGCAATGAAGTTCAACAGAGTGAGAAACATGAGCAGTTAGACCATCAGACAGGTTGTAAACAAGCAAACAGTAAAGCCAGATTATCCAAACCACTTTATCTGGAGGCAAAACTGAAAGTGAGTGCACCCAAAATGTTGGTAACAATCCTTTACTGCACAGTAAAACTATGTGTGTGCACAACCACGGTAAGTACTGTACTTACAACAGACAGTTTGGGTCATAATCGTAACATTCACTTTGTCTTTGCTTCCAAATGTTTGGCTAACCTGGGGATTTGTTTACAACCCGTATGATCAAGTGATCATGTTTCTTGTTTCATTTTGACTTTTTTTTTATATATTATTGAATTTTTACCACATTTTCAGATCCCAGTAATGTAACTTGGTGTGTGCAATGATATTACCAATAGGAAGGATTTCCAAAGCTACAAAAATAAGACAACAATAAATTGTAATATACCAGAATCATCCCTGAGTTACTTTGCTAAAACTCATTACTCATGTTCTTTCTCTCTGTCACCCTCTTCTTTCTATCCATCTGTTTCTTTCTGTCGTTGACTCACTCATACACACCCACACACACGCACACACATCACCCTATGTCTGGCCCTGAGGGTGTTGTAACCTGACACTATATCATTAATCTCTGATATTACCCATAAATCCCTGCCCATTAACACTAGCCCAGGGACTAAATTGGCATTTGGCCGTGGAAGATGATCACACACTTCATGCGGTAGGTCAGAAGAATGCTGATGGCTGTTTCTTTCCGGTCAGTCTTTCCATCTCTGTCCTCATCATTTCAAAAATTTTTTTTTTTGGCACTTTTGTTCTCAGTTCCTGGCACACTCCTATCGCACTGTGCCTCTGTCACTTTCATCCAACCTGTTCAGCCATGTTAGCTGGTGTCAGCGGTGTTAGCCACCATCAGTCTGGGCAAGCCGGAGTACCAAACCAGCGTACCAGAGAGTCTAGCTGGATTAGGGTTTGAAGATTAGCCTTCTCTCTTGTGTCATCACTAATCCATTACAAAGACCTGGACTGTCACACACACACACACACACACACACACACACACACACACACACACACACACACACAGACACACACACAGAGCTGTTGTAATTGGATCACAAGGGAACAGTGGAATTTGTTGTAGTTCGGATTGACATTTGTGTGCAAGGCCAATAACACGATTTTGCAAAGCCTGAATGTGTTTTTTCAGTACTTACAATTCCAATTTTCTACAAAATGTAGCTATCTGCAAAAATCGTATGTCTTTCTAATCAGATTATGATTTATTTGTCACAAACACTACGTGAGCTCATTACTATCTCTGGCAAGAAGTTTTTGTTTTTGACTTTGTCAGCAGGATTACGGAAAAACTAGTTTCATGAAACTTTGTGGAAGGGTGTAGTATGGGCCAAGGAAGAACACATCCAATTTTGGAGTGGATCCAAATCACGAAGCGAATACACATTATTTTTCACTTATGAAAACGGCCTTGGCAGAGGTCTGCCCTTCTTGTTTTCTCTATGAGATACATAATCTAATTTGTTCTGCTTTTAAATCCTGTATTCAGACCTTCTCCCTACTCTTTATATTTAATATTCTGGTCACTTCCTGTTTCTCGCCTTCCCACATTCCCATCCCACCTTCCTCACTTCTCCTTTTAATAGATTATGTGATAAAAGATCCCTGTCTGCTCCATGGGGGCAATTATGTGAACTTCCATTCTGTTTGTGTGCGCGCGTGTTTATGTGCTGTCGCCTTGATTCAGTCTTTTATCAAACCATAGCCATTGTGATATTGCCTTTCTGTCCGATGAAGATATGTGTGTCTGTTATAGTCAATTTAAAAGGAACTTCCAAGCTGTCAGGCTCATTGGAGACACACACAAACACACCCATACACCCATATGGTCAGGGTTCTTTTTGTCTCCTTGCTTGTCTGTGTAGATCAGTGTTTTCAGCCTCCCTTTTGGCCATCTCACAGAGACCCATTGATTAGTTGAGATCGATGAGGTGCAGTATTGTTTTAGAAGCATTCTGCAACACAATAGATGTGCTGGTTAACTACACTGTTGTCCCATGTCCTTCACATACCACTGTTATATATTCTATTATATAATTTATTCTGTCATTTGTGCTTATTGTCATTGTGAGCTCTTTGGATCCGTCCTTACTGTTCGCTCATGGACAATCTGTTTGCTACTGTTCAGATATTTAACAATAAAAACATGGACCATCAGTCAGACTTGGAGCACGGCTCTGAACAGAAGGAGGCAGGTTTTCGGTTAATGTTGGGTGGAGTGTGTGTGCATATGTGTGCTGTGAGGTGGAAATGAGGAGGTCTCACCTTTAAAAAAAGATGGTGTTGCTGCCTAACCTCGTTCTTATATAGCAGAATCTTGTTTCCATGGGTACCAAATCTTTGAGCTCCGAGGATGTGAAGCAATTAGTGGGCCTTGATGAATGTCTCTGTCTACCACTGCCTGTTAACATCCAAGTCCGGGTGGGAGTGTGTGTGTGTGTGTGTGTGTGCTGCATGTGTATCATTTATTACATATGCACACATGTTGTAATTATATGAATAATTAGTTGGTCATAACTCGTTGCCTCTATTTCCCAGTTTAACACCCGGGTGAAGAAAACGGCGTGTTTCGAACATCTGGTTCAAGCCAACGTGAGGAACAAGAAGCTGCTGAAGGACGCTGTTCAGAACATCACAGCTAAAGGAATTACAAACTACACAAAAGGCTTTGAGTTTGCTTTTGAGCAGCTCTCTACTGTAAGATTTTCCAGTTGCATTATTTTTGTTTTGAGAAAACATGTCATTTTGTCAAACTTAAGTGTAGCTGAGAGCACAAGAGGCTTTAAACAAGTTTTGAATGAATGTCACCTGATGCCTCCACATTTTCAGAAGCAGCAGTTTATTGTCTTTTACTGCCATCTGCTGGTTGAAAGTGTTACCTCAACACAGCTGTCCGTACAATGAAAGAAACATTAGATTGCTATTAGATTTTCAGTTGGCTGACGACCCTGAAATGGCAAAGCATTATCCTCTAGTGGAGTTATTTATTGACAGCATTGTATCAAGTAATAGGTCTGATAAACTCTGAACTTGCACTTTCACAAAATGATATGGATATGGTAGGTTAAGATGGTGTATGACTTGATGAGAACTGTTGACTGAAGTCTTTGCTATCAGGGTTAGGGTTCATAACACGATACAGTTTGGTTGTTTTGGATTGAACAAACAGGGATGGCACTAGAAAATAGACAATTGGCTAATCCAAAACAAAAGGTTGCAACCTTTTGGATCGTGAATGTTTCTGAGAAGGAGATAAAAGGAAATATCTGGAGGTCAGCAAAAATAATCGGCCTTATCCTCTGGGGACTGCGCATATTCACAGCAGAATATCACTACTTTGACTTGATGATGACACTAGACAGGTCATGAAAACATCAAGTATGCCAAAGTGTATGACAGCGTGAACAGGTATTTTTCTCTAGCCAAAATTGGATGGACCAGCAGACCAACCAAACCTTCCACTACCTGGGTGAAAAAAAATCCTTTGTTTTCCTTTGACTAGACCAATGTGAGTAGAGCAAACTGCAACAAGATCATCATGCTATTTACTGACGGAGGAGAGGAAAGAGCTCAGGCCATACTAGAGAAGTACAATGCTGAGAAAAAGGTACGTTAAAGATGTGCACACACACACACACACACACAGACTGTGGCATTGGATACTGCCGTGTGGAATTGTTTGCTTTTATCTGTGTGGATGTGGTCCTGTTGTAGTTTTTATTAGACTCAGCTTTTTGGAGCTCCCTTTGGATCCAATCTTCCGTGTGCATATCCTCCCTACCCAAAAGTTTATGCAGAAGGCAGATTACGGTTTTCTGCATAATATGCAAAACAAAGACCTTCCCACATGCTCACTTGTGCACGTTAACACCCACAAATATGCACATGCACAAGGTTGAGGATATTAGCAGGATGCACAAACACATTTTGTTTTCGATCAAACTCTCATATTTCACTTGTGACTATTTGAGTATTAATTCTAGTTGATTTAAAGTATTATGGCAGCACCACAATATGTTAAAACATACAGTATGCTGTTTTTTTGTTTTATATATATGATATGTAAATCATCTAATACATTGAAATAGTCAAACATGATATTCAGTGTATATAATAACATTATATTAGGGATAATATATTAATTTAATATATTAATTAAATTAATATATTGATTTAATATATTAAATCAATATATTAATTTAATATTAATTGGCATTAATATTAAATTACGATAAATGGGAAAATAGAGCTACCTACCAGAATCATATCTTTTAACATTGTTAGGTCATGACAGATATTGTTGAATTGAATCTTGTGCTCCAGGTGAGGATCTTCACCTTCTCAGTAGGACAGCACAACTATGATAAAGGACCCATTCAGTGGATGGCCTGCTCCAACAAAGGTAAGCACAGATCATAACACACATCGATACTGAATATTGATCAGTTTGTAACCGTCCTGGTATTGGATTACGTTGTACTTAACAGATCCTGGTAGTGATTTGAACCTCATTTTAGAAACAGAGGAGCTGCCTTTGGCAAAACAGCTGCATATACAGTACACTTGAATATACGTGAATCAGTAAAGAATCACATTACAAAAGGAAAATGTCTGGATATCAATTTACTTTGTTTTTCCAAAATGTTATCAACTCATCTAACACTAAGCTAGAGTCATGATGCAGTAGACTACCCTACAGTATTGCAGGCTGTTTCCTTTGCTCCATGTTTTTGGGGTGCTCTTATGTACCCTTGCCATCTATTTCCGTCTGCTGTTATGTTATCATTGTGGGATCTTAGCATTAAGTTTCAGTTAAATGATTGTGTTTGATCATTTATCCAGGTTACTTCTATGAGATCCCTTCCATCGGAGCCATCAGAATAAACACACAGGTTAGATCATGCTTTATTATTTTTCACATTATTTTTTACAGAACTTAACATTCATGGAAGCGTTAATCTGGAAAAATGTATTGTCCAATTTAGGAGTACCTAGATGTCCTGGGAAGGCCAATGGTTCTGGCAGACAAGCAGGCCAAACAAGTCCAGTGGACGAATGTATACCTTGATGCTCTGGTACTTTTTGTGTCCTATAATTCATTTTACAGAAATATTGTTCCTGCCATGTCTATTTAACTTAATGAGTTATTGAGTTCTGAGTTGAATTGTGCATTTGCTTGACTCTCCATCAGGAACTGGGTCTGGTCATTACTGGCACACTACCTGTCTTCAATAAAACGAAGACCATAGATGACAGGAATGGCGAGGTGCAGTAAATAAATGCATGAACACATGAGAAGTGGAGTCAGCAGTAGCAGGAGTGGGTGGATATATTTCCCCGGTACTCATCCCTTTCTCTTATACTGTCTCTCAGCACCAGAATCAGTTGATTCTTGGCGTAATGGGGATTGACGTGTCTCTGGATGACATCAAGAAGCTCACACCGCGCTTCACAGTGAGTTTAACACCCACATATGACCACATGCATGCAGACAAATACATTCATAGAACCAAAACTCTTGTGACTTGCGATGTTGTGAAGAATTTTCGCTCCGGCAAATTAGTGAGTGATATGATTCCATTAAATTTGTTTTCTAATTATCTGCAAATACGAAATATCCTTGTTATTAATTACAACATCTTTGTTGCACGTAGTACTCTTGTTTTTTTGGGACCACTGAGGCCCTTCTTTTACACACTCTTTAACACTAACTACCAGTTGTTTTGCCATTATATTGTACTTACATCATGTGGTTTCCTGGAAACAAATATTTAAAAAAAATAATAATTTTCTTCTTCAGATTGGTCCAAATGGGTACTACTTTGCCATTGATCCCAATGGATATGTCCTGCTGCACCCCAATCTCCAGCCAAAGGTATGGCATCTGGCCCTATGCATCATTTAGCAGGTCCATGTCTTAGCATTACATTATATTCTGACTATTCCATATGGTTAAACATGAACTGCTTGTGCATAGTGAATAATATGCAGGCTAGCAGATGGTGCAGGTTCTCTTCGTCGTGAATCTTCATCAAAAGAATTATTTCTCCAGTTAGAGTATGACTTGATATCTTCAGTCCTCAGTCCTTACTTTTAGCCAATCCAATTTATTTAGCATTTTAAGTTTACAACAAGGCTTAAAACTGAAATATGAATGAAAATATCCAACACTTACACAAAAACTTCAAGTGGTACCATATAAATAATATGCTGCCTGACTTGCCCAGCCAAAGGCCTTAAGTAGTCTTAAAACTCCTCAAATAAATGCCGCAGTGATAAGAGATATTGCAGAGCTGCATAGTGTTTTCCTCTCTTTCTGGAATAAAGGGGATTTCCTTGTTTTTCTCCTTGTTTTTTTCCCCTCACAATCTTTTTCCCCAGACTGAAACACTTATCACGGTCAAAGCTGTGTGTGTGTGTGTGTGTGTGTGTGTGTGTGTGTGTGTGTGAATAATTAAAATGGTTACTGAGTTGCAGCTGGGAGTGACACAATGTATGTATTTGAAATCATGTTTTTCTTTGGTGAGCTTTGAAACCCCCACTCCCCACACTATGACATAAAACACTAAAAGGCATCACTGTGCATCTTTTCAAAACTTTCCTAGAAAAGGATTCGTAACAGGAAGCACAGGCTCAGTAATAAATATGCTGTCACTTTTCATGAGGTGAGACAAAGAACAAGTACTGTAGATTGCAGAAGTAATTCCTGAAGATAGCAATGTAGAGATTTCTATATTGTAGTCCCATAGATAGTTCCCCAGCATTTCGAATATAGTAGCAGTCATCGTAGGTAATAATTAGTTTGTTGCTGGCCATTATGTATCTTTTTTGTGATCTACAACCCTCTGATTTCACCCAAACTGAAGTGATGGCACAATCTTCTGTAGCTTGTAATAATCACTCTAGACATGGACTTTTTCTTTTTTTACAAATGTGTGGGTATGTTTTGTAATTGCCCACATGTGTTTGTGAGCATATTTTGTGACAGCTTTGAAACTGAGAGAAAGTGAGTCACCTATAGTCACATCAATAGCACATACCCAAATGAAAGGGAAACTTGCTTTAAATAGTCTACGACATTGCATGACTCAGCATTACCTATTAAAATAGAAATGGTTAAAGGAACAGTGTGTAGGAGTTATGGGATTTTATTGGCAGAAGTGAATAATAATATTCATAACTATGTTTTACTGTTAGTGTATAATCACTTCAAAAGATCAATTGTTGTGTTTTCCTTACCTTAGAATGAGACGTTATACAGCGGGTCCTCTTCATGGAGTTTGCTATGTTGTACCGCCATGTTTCTACAGGAGCCCAGAGTAGACAAACTATACACTGGCTCTAGCGAGAGCCTTTTGCTTTCTTACGTTCTCTGAAACGCTTGGAATGTGAGGGGTTAACAGAGGGGTATTCAGTTGGATGCAATCTCCAACCTCACCACTAGATGCCACTAATTTCTACACAATGCTCCTTTTAAGTTAATTGAAAGGATTTGACTAACTTAATTAAAAACGTCCACGTTGTGAGTTGTGGTTTTGTAGAGAATTACTTTTTTGTGCAATCAACAGGTTTCCATAAAAGTTGTTCTCTAGTTCTACAAGTGTTGTTTGGGGCAGAGCTTTTGCCTCCTTTTTCCTTGTATGCATTTCTTATTGCACGTCGATTTTATAAGTGAAACTTGTGTTTGTGTGTACTAGAGAAAATCCAGTGGGAAGAGGTTGTCATGGGATTGTTTTGAGATCATGCTTGACTCTCGGAATGTCACGAGATCACGCAAGAATTGCGGGATCACATATCACACGAAAATCCATCTTCTCAGACTTCAAGGACCAATCAGTGTCCTGTTACTAGCAGGCAGCTAAGGGCAAGGCTTAGGTGGTTAAGATAAGATAAGATACGATAAGATAGACTTTATTGTCCCGAAGGAAATTTGTCTTGGAAACATACATACAGTGTCTGCTGTTAAAACAATACAAATAACATATTGCATACATACATTACATGCATTGAGACAACACGGAGAGGCGACTGTTCATTCTGACCAACAATGGTGGCTCCTGAAGAGGTTAGCGTATTATGTTGCAATAGCATCAGTTATATCAGAGCTGGAGGATACTTCTTTATTGAAAGAAGAACAAAGAAAAGCACCGAAGGCTTTTCTTGATGGAAAAGGTGTTTTCATGTGTCTGTGTTTGAGGCTCAGAGCCTGTCAATCACTCATTGTTTTGTTGAATCAGCCAAATGGGAGATCAAGTGAATAGCGATGGTCACTTTCTGTATTTGATTATATTTGTACGTATTTAATATTTTTTACACATACACGTATCTCCTTAGTTACAGTCGTGTTTTTCTTTTTACCTCACCACAAGTCTCTTGCTAACATACAGTATTATGTCACTCTCTCAATGTTTTTCTTTTTAATCTTGTTGCTCTTCTTTTCTCACTCCTTATTTCTCATTTGATCTTTTTTACTTTGCTGTTCACACCACCCAGTGTTACCATTTTTTCTCTCTTTTTTTATGTCCTCTCCTGTTTTTCTTGTGTATGTTTGATGTTTAATTCAGTGTTGTACCTCTTGATCTTTTATTCTTTCTTTTCTCATTTTCATGTTGAGATGCTTCATCTTCATCATCTTCCTTTGCTGCTTCATTTCATTTAACTTACCATCAAATGTAAGGAGCTCAACTCGTGCTTTTTGATGAATTGAGTATTTCATTAATTGGACTCTTGTCCGTGTACTGATTCACACTATTTTCTTATTTTTAAATTCAACGTCAATCCTAATTCCTTTACTTTCTTTAAAGTTGAAATGCATATGTATGTATCTATTGATTCACTGTTTGCGTATGTCAACATAAAAATAGGAAACTATGCAGAAAGCACTAGTATGCTCCTACCGCATCAACCCAATCGCTGTGGAGGACAGACTGGTATCAGATTGCATGTATTGCTGTTTTATAGAGAAGCACTAGATTACTGCCACCATTTTATACCACCATAAAGCCACTCAGACGTATAGGGTTTTTAAGAGAGGACATTAATAGGGTCCAGTGTCACTTTGTATCAAATCTGATTTAGCTGTATCTGGTGTCACAGATGTGTTGTCAAAATGCTGCCATATGGTACCCTCTATTTTTTGTACCATAGATTTGATTGGATTCATGTGTTAAGGAAAATGATTGGCATTGCTCCTGAATTGAATACAAAAAAGTTATTAAAGTCGACTTTATGTTTGTTCAATGCAACGTCAGTACTAAGATGCAAAAATAACCTCTGAATCTCTGAATAACAATTGCGAAATGGTCCACTGAATTATATAACATTTTAGTCTCATCAACTCAGCTGGCTTTAGATAGAGTGATATGAAAGAGGGTTATTACAAAATAAACTTTGCTTCCATCCAAACAACTCAGGATAAGCCTAAAGGAATCCTCTTTTTTTCTGTTGTTAGGTTTGTCTGTGTCTAACTTTATTGAATTTTGCCACACCTAAGAGTGCATTATCATCCTTTCCACAGAATCCTAAATTCCAGGAACCTGTTACCCTAGACTTCCTCGATGCTGAGCTGGAGAATGACATCAAAGTAGAGGTAGAGTGTGCAGATGCATGGAAATCCCCTTGCTATACACACACACACACACACACACACACACAAGAAAAGGAACAGAGGTGGATATACATCCAGGCAGTTATTGAGGTACTAGATGACCAGTCCCTGCAAGTGTTTTACTTAGTGTCCCTAACTCGTTAGCATGAGGTTATGAGACAGAATGTATTTAAATCAGCTGATACTCTGTAAGTCAGATTCAGTGATTCTTGAACTACATGTACGCTGTCTGTTTCTACATCTCTTCCTATAGATCAGGAGAATGATGATCGATGGTGAGACAGGCGAACGTTCCATTAACACACTGGTGAAAACTCAGGATGAGGTAAGACAAAATACTGGAAAGGGATTAACATTTTACACATACAGGACTCATACAGCTTACTCATACAGGAGTATGTTGCATTTTATGTTGCCATAGCCAAAGTTGGCAAGTTTACTGCTACAACGTTGTTCACTTCCTGTCTCATCTTTGATAGAGGTACATAGATAGAGGAGTCAGGACCTACACGTTTGCGCCGGTCAATGGAACAGATTACAGGTGAGCAATGTCAGCAATTTTGTAATATGTCTTTATGGTTCATTAAGCTGTCTTCACTTAAGACAATGCACTATCTGCCACTAACTACAGTGAGCACTCCAGCCGATGGAGGACACTACTTAAGCCAACAGGGGTCACTCTCTTGTTTCTAACAGCAGGCTCTGCTTGGTTATTGGGAAATACATTTGCGAGATTGTTTTTGCTTTTCACTAAACATACAAAAAAGCAGAGCTTTCTGAAAAACATGGAAGCTTGATTAATTGTGTATTGTTTCTCTTGATTAATATAATCACATACATTTAAAGTGTTTAAAAGCATGTCACAGGGCATTTTACAGGCTTTGAATTACCTTTTTTTGTTTGAACAGACTAAATAATTCACACAAACCAGACCTCTTAACCATAAAACTCTAACAGTGTTACTGCTATTGTCTTTTCTGCAGCCTGGCTCTTGCTCTGCCAAGATACAGTGAACACTTCATTCAAGCCAAACTGGGAGATGACTCGAAAGGAGCTATGTGTAAGTATATCATACATCCTCGTGATAAACTGTGTGCAAGCAAGTGAATCGGATTTAATTTTGCTGGTGCCTCACAATCAACTCCTATGCTTTCTGTGGGTCGTACTCTTGAGTATCTCCTCTTGTTTTGTATTACTCGCTCCTAGCTGGAACCACAACCACTCCTTTGTATTTGCTGCTCAGATCAGCGGATCCCCATGGTGCTTTTCTTTTGTAGTGTAACCCACTGGTCAGTCGCCCCGCACTCCCACACACACTCATCCACATGCTTTCCTTCTCCCACACCCAGCCGAAGCACTAGCTCTTTTGATCTTGTCTACATTTTGCGCTTCTCTCCTTCTTAACTCCCCTCTTCTGGCCCTCCTTCTGGCTTAGGAGAAGACGAAACCTCGCTCCTCTCCATGCTCATTATCGCCTCTTCTACAAAACATTATCTTTTCCCTCTTTTGCAGTTTTCGCTATGTTTCTGTTGCCAACTCCATTTATTTACCTCCCTGTGCTTACAGTAAGCCTATCGTTCCTTTCCTAAATGTTTCATAGGGTAACAGGCTACCCGAAGCAGACGGACTTTAATCTGGATTGTTTTTTCTGTGTCTCTGTTTTCTTCTGTCTCTCTATCTAATCTTTAAACCTGTCCTCACCTCGTTCTCTTTATTCCTCCTATTCCCTCTCCCCTTCCCCTTTTTATTTTTCTTCAGCTCATTTCTTTTTTGATTTCCTTTTGCTCTGTTTGCGCTCTCAAGGCTGTTTCACTGTATGATCCACTTTGGCTTCTTCTAACAGCTCAGAATTTAAGTCATACTCACAAGGATGAAACTCTTTCATATACACACATACGGTCTGTGCAACTGTCACTCTTTGTACAATTCGTTATATTTTTATTCTGATAAGTTATCCTCTCCTGTCCTGCTTCCACACTGGAATCTTACAGCTTCTTCTTGGGGCAAGTACTCGCTATTCTTTGTCTCCTGTCTTCATCTTGCCATGTGATGTTCTTCCATAAGCATGTTTGTCCTATATATATTTGCATGATTACAGATGGAGGAATGGATGGACAGACTCTGGTATATGAATCATGACTTTATAGATGCATAGATGGATAATTGCTTTGATCACGGGATATAATTAGAAAAAAACACCATAAACAGCACATGACCATCTGGCTTTAGTGTATTTTTATAACTTTGATGTGACACCACAAAGCATAAACGGCTAATGGCTCAGTTGTTCCAAAAGATGAGATTTTGACTGAGTGTTCCGACCTCTGTATCACTCCCTCTCTGCCATAACGAGTCTGTCACCGTGCCATAAAGACTGTTGGAACGTTTACAGGCCTCTTAAAGAAAGTAACACACCATGCCTTGCTGCCACAGACTACTCAGATAGGGAGTTTGGGACTCTAAAGCTTTCTGTACAGCCATATAGAGTTTCACACTGGAGCCAGACCACCAATACCTCGCTCCATCTTATCCTTTTCCTGCAGTAGATGGTTCCTGCAGCCACTTGTCCTCCTAATACATTATGGAGGATACCTAGTCAAGTGTATGATGGATGATCATTTTTTTATCATAAAACAGAAATGCTGAATGCATTGAATAAATTTACCTAATACTGGGGTTGAAGAGACGGCGATAGAGAAGTAAAGAGCAAGAAAGAAGAGAAAGAATGCATGGTGTGGAAAGCAATTGGACATACAGACACCCTGCCCGGTCTATAGAGACAGAGGGACAATGAATCTGCCTGTTGTGTTTTATGTGAAAGACATTGTTTCATCCTACACCAGATTTCCATGGCCCCGAGGAAACTCAGTGCTCAGTAATTTTTTTCGCAGACTGCACCACACGACTCAATATTTTTTAAAGGCAATGTCCGAAATGTCTTCATTTTAAGAGACCAGTGAATGATGGCCATCCATGCCTGTCATGTCATTTATGACATAAGAATTATTACCACACACTATTTGTAATGAAATCCAGAGCCAGGGCAGACAAAGCATTGAGTGGAAGGAATTTTATTTATTACAATATACATGTTTATATGTTGTTCCCTTCTGCTGCATTCCCCAGCTGATCCTTTTCTGTCCTGCATCTATAGAATATGCACTCAATGTAGTTTATTTACATGTATTGTTTGTCTATAAGATCTCATATTCTTTCACTGCAGCATATTGTTTTATTATCTACCGTGGGAAATATTTCCAATTTTCAGTTTGTTTTTTAGGGTCTGAACTTATTTGTCAGATGATGGATGCATTTTTGATCAACCCTTGTCTTTCCTACTTTCTCCTCTCCTCATATCTGTCTCTCTGGGGTCACAACAGGGCAAGAAGGCAAGTACTTCTCACTCAGTCATTCTCTCATGCCTCCCCACTGCACCTCCATCCACATTCTCTACCTTGATCCATCACCTCATATCTGTCCAATATTTTATGTCTGGGGGGGGGGCTTTCAGCTGTGTGCATCCTTTGATAAATAGAGAACACACTTTTAAGCTCCTAAACCTTTGTGTGGAATATTCATATTCATCTTATCGGCCTAAACCAATTATTTTTTGTCTTTTCAAAGCCATGGAAACCATACAGCAGGAGAGGTTTGATGAGTGTGGTTACACCTACATTGCTCCGAGGTAAGTGATCGTGACACATATGTCCAACCCACCTTCACTCGGCAGGAACAAAACAAGGGGCTGAGATTTAAATGTATCAATACTGTTCCTTTAGGGAGTACTGCAAAGAGCTGAAGTTGTCACTCAACAACACCCAGTTTCTCCTCGACTTCAGCCAGTACATCGATAGCAACACTTCAGATGCATGTGAGTCATGCATCTTTTTCACTGTTATTTCACTCTACACATTTGCACAGCTTGTGATGTCAGTTTGCGGCACTGTTTGACGAGAGTGGAAGTTGTGTATGCGTACATGCATGGTATGTTTTACTGTTAGTCAGAATTTTCCCACTGGTGGTATCACAATGATCAGCATCTGAAGGTCAGAGCATTACTTTGGTCATCAGATTACTGTGGTATAAGCAGAGTGACATCAGCCCGATCGACTGAGTTTCCTAGAAGCCTGATGTTGTCATGCTGCACAATGACTCATGGTGTTTGATTTGTCATCATCTATTGGGTCTGCCCCCTATGGCTTACAACCATCATCCAGCTAATGGATCTAGGTATCCTTGATCCATTTTAACCCAAGGTCAAGCCATCTAAATATGCATTAATGCCTTTCTCCTTGCTGTTGTGAAGTATGGTCTCACAATTTGTTCTTGAGTCTTAAAGTCTGCAAGTTATGCAAAGTTATGGACATGATTTAAAAGCACACTCAAGGGAAGCTGTGTTGAAACTGTGTGCTAACATTTTTGACAGTGCTTTTCTTGACAATGGGGTTCAAACTCAATACCTTGGCATCATCTCTCTCCTAAAGCTGCAGCCAGTCTTTCACAAAGTACTTCCTTCTGTCTTATTGTCTAATAATCACTCCGAGAAGACCTACAAAAACATGTCTCCCTGCTGGATGATTTCCTGACAAGTACCATGAGATCTAATCGTTATCCCTCATTTATCCAGGGAGAAGATTTGGCAAAACACGACTGCTCTTTTTCAGCCTGACTTTAACCGTCAGACACTTAATCACTTTTCTCTTCAGCATTTTTTCTGTTAACCAGTGAACAGATCATAACGTATTCATCTTCCCTGCAAAGATTCACAAATAATAGGCTGGCATTGCTTCCATTGCCATATTTCCTTACCAATTACTGTTATCGTTGTGTTGTACTGTTCGCAATAGGTAAAATGTATCCTGTCTTTAATCCACAGGTAATGTGTCCCTGGTGAATCGACTAATCCTGGATGCAGGTCTGACAGCTGAACTGGTTAAACTTTGGAACGAGCAGACAGTGTGAGTGCCAAACATTTAAAAATACATTTTTCTTCTTACATGGAAATCTGTCTTGCATGTCCACACTATTGCTCCACCATATCATAGCTGATGATGCTTATGTCATGCACAATCTACTGACTGAGCCACAGTTTTATTTCCTTTGTCTTTACTTCGGGTGATTTAATCACGTCCAACTAGTGAAACACGATGAAAGCTAAGCATAAAATGCATATCGCACCCAACCATACTAAGTTCTGCCAAGACATGCTGTTTTCAGAACAAAATAGTTTCCTTTCATGGTATGCCCACTCGTCTGAAATAATCTGAACACACACTGCAGGGTATCTGTTTAACATTAGGACAAATAGAAAAGGGTGACTGTGGTCATAAAACAATTTGTGTCTGCAGCTTGGTCTCACAGTTCACAAACACTTTTCTAATATTCGTCCATGTGATTGGCTTTGATGTTTGATTGGCTGTTGTTTTCCATGTTCTCAGGGATGGAATAATGGCCAGATTTGTAGCCACAGATGGAGGAATAACAAGAGTCTACCCAAGAAGGTTACCCTCCCCTCTTTCTACTCAGGTTCACTTCAAGCGTTAGTTCTGGTGTCGTGAAACAGCGCACCAAGCTTTGCCCAAACATCTGGTGGTGTAAATGTGTGAGGTGAAAATGGATACAGACTGTACTGCTCTTAGGTTCAGCGCGTTTCGCTGCTATACTCACCTGTTCCACTGGGTTATTTTCCAGAACATAGAGGATTAGACACTTTAAGCGGAACTCCCATAGGTTGCCAAGCCAGTACAGAACATGGGTCAAATCCGCACATCCAGCAGCCAAACACAGCTCATTTTCCTCAATTTCCTGCTACTTTTATCTGAACTACATTTGGGGGATCTACTTGGTCAGAATATGATATTCCAGATGCAGATGAATGTATATTCCTCCTGCCTATAAAACATGAAATATTATCAGTAATTGCTTTTACTGGATCATGCCTGGACATATATCAACTGCATTGGGTGTGACTTATATTCCGATGACTGGCGTTTGGCTATATATTAAAATATAAATTGTTCAGATAGATCAAACACATTTGCTTGGTGTTTTATGGATATGATGGTCCATATATAATATTATGTGACTATATTAATGTTTTTAGTGCCGGGGAAGAGTGGACTGAGAATCCTGAGACATATGAGTCCAGCTTCTACAAAAGGACCCTGGACAATGAAATATATATTTTCACAGCTCCATCTTTCAACCGTAAGTTTTTTTCCTAAATGTTTGAATATGTGCACACTTTTATGTATGAGGATCTTCAATGTGGTTTGGCACTGAGCCTATCCTGCTCTCTGCCTTTGGACGTCCTCCCAATCCTACTGGCAAAGATCACACTCTCAGGCCTCTGATACCACTGCCTTTATCCTTCTCCTTTTCCCGCTGTGTCTTTCAGCACTCATCCCCTCTCTTCCTCCCTCCTGCCCTGTATACTTCCTGTTATCTCCACTGATCTTTCCAACAGACAATAGGACAGGCAGCCGTCAGTGTAATGTAGCCGCGCTTTACTCTACACTTGACTGGATTAACACATGTACTGGCCTCACAGACTCCACTCCACTCAAATACATTACTAGCAGCTAAACATCTATGGAATTTCCAACAATGGATAGCAAATATTCTCTTTTACTGTGATTCTCATTTTGAAATGTTCTCTGCCAACATCATTTTAAACATGATTTAGGTGAAATTGCTATAATTATCTCTTGTGTGTCCCCTCTCAATTGCAGCAGAGGGTAGGGAGCCTGTTACTGAGTCAGCTATTCTAGTGAGCAAAGCAGTGGACCTCACGATTGACGAAGTCACACTCAAACCAGCTGGTCAGTCTTGCTAATCCCAGATAGATTGCCTCTTGTGATGCAACATGAATAAAAAAGACTCAATAGCTGTACATCTGCATGTTTTGTGATTTCCTCTGTAGTGGTGGGAGTGAAACTTAATGTCTCCTTCTGGATGAGCATTTTCATGAATGCTACACTGAAGCTGAATGTAAGTTGTGTTAATAAGGTGTATTTGTATCTTTGACACATTTATCTATTGGTGTACGATAGTCATTTTGTTGTCTGGCTAACTTTTTTTATCTTTTTAGTGCAAGGATGAGATTTGTGGCTGTCTGAGGAATGACAAGGTACAGCAATGCAGGTTATTGAATCAAATCTGAGAATGTTTTGTTTATTGTCTTGTCTAAGATGTGTTTTCGTTACCATCACTGTGCAGACGGCCTTGATTAGAAATCGAATGTTACCTTACAGGAGAAAAAACATTACGATTGTAAATTGCCTGCAATATAACAATGTAGTCAAGCTTGTATCTCTTTTTAAAATACTAAAAGATGATTTTTCATTTTCCACACATTTTACCATTTTTTTATTGCATTTTTAAACTGTTTATCTTGTTACACTACAGCATGTAGACTGTGCCATCCTGGATGATGGGGGATTTCTTCTCATGTCCAACCACGATGAGTATATCACACTGGTGAGTTACCGGCAACCACTTTCTTCACCTTATCACAGCCGTAAAGGTTGAAATCAAAGACTTCATATTCATATGTCTTACTTTTCTCTACCTTTCTTCATACCTAGCTCCTCTTTGTCAGGGATCCATCAATCTCATATAGAGGTCAAATAAAGGGCCCATGACTCATCTAATGAGAATGTCCTGTTAGCTGTGAGCTGTTTGAAAGCTCCTGTAGGACGGCAGTGCATCCATGTCTCCAGTAAAGTAAAGCACTATCCTCTGGAGGAGGATCAAAGGGGAGGTTCTGATGCATTTTAGTCAGGCATGAAAGCTGTAGTGAAGTGTGTCCCCTGTGTATGCAAGAAGTCAGCTCTGCTGTGTTAGCTCCACTCTTTCAGGCTGCTGTGCCCCTGTGTGTGTCAGTGGTAGGACATACAGTACGTCTGGAAACTTTGCATGTCAGTCAAGGCAGGACATCTGCTGTCTTTGATCTTTTTACCATCCAAATGTCTGGCATACGGTTTATGGTCACCGAGCATTGGAATAAGCACCCTCCTGTCATTTTGTGATACATTTGGTGTCCGTTGGGGACACGCAGAAGTTTTTTGTTAGTTTGTTACATATTGTCACCATAGTTCTATGGTCAGTTATGGCCAGAGTCCTTTTATCAGGAATATATAAACACAACCATCATCCATCAGGTGTTAGCTTCTTGTGAAACTACAGTGACCTGTTCTCACTGTAATCATAGGATTATAAATATGCAACCTTCATTCAATATTAACGTAACATTAATACATGTAACAGGTGACACTGGAGAACACATCCACCCTCCAGCTATCCAGACTACTTGAGTAGAGGGTGAAAGGGCATGGCAGTAGAAGCACAGGGATAGAGTGACAGGTTAACAACTGTCTGTTTATATGTGAATATATGACTAAGACTATAAAGCCCCATCAGAGGAGATAGTACACAGCTGGATGTTTTGTTAGTACAAGCAGAGTCTTACACCATTTTTATTGACTGTTGTTTTTCTTTGTGTGTGCGCATGTGAACTGTTCTAGATAGGTCAGTTCTTTGGGGAGGTGGATCCTGTGCTGATGATCAACCTGGTCAACACCTCCTTGTACTCGTTCAATAAGACCTATGACTACCAATCTATCTGTGACCCAGAGAAAGACAGCAAGGCTGCAGCAGGACCCCGCTCCGTCTATGTGGTTAGAAACTCATTCCCACAACCTGTCAGATGGCAGCCACACTCTCTCTCTCATTATCACATTTACACATTTATGCATCTATAATAAATTAGTGTTTATTCTACAATTTGGTGAGGAAAACTGTTGATACAAAACTACATTGATTCTTAATTCCTGTAGTTTAAAATATTGTGATTGTATATTACATTTGTTTTATATTTATATTTCTAGGTTCGAAATAGTAATATAATAACGGACCAATGAAATGAATCATCATTCACGACTGAAATTCTTTTTTTTATCTTTCCCATCCCTCTCAGCTTTATTTTGGAATTTATTATTCATGACTTTCTTTTGCTGTCTCTTTCCAGCCTACCATTGCAGACATGCTCAGTATTGGCTGGTGGGCCTCCACTGCTGCCTGGTGAGTGTACAGGTTGTGTGTTTGTGTTTGTTTTTGTTTTCCTCCAATGTTTATGTTTGTTTGCGTGTGCGTTTTAGAGTGGGAGTTCATTTGTACTTGTACTAGGGTAGGAGTTGTATGAGAGTTGGCTTGTATGTTATTGAGGAATGAACCTGGCTGGGTCAGTGTAGGAGAAGGGCAGTTACACAACATTATACTGCATCGCTGTCTGTATGACTGTCCAACTGCAATTTAACCAGCTTTTAAAGAAGAATGACTGATACTCAGCCTCAAACAGATGTGTTGCTGTTGTTAAAAGTGTGTTGTTGTTCAATATAAATAAGTTAAAGATGGTATATTGACTCATCTATGTGACTCTTTTTTTTTGTCTCTGTGTCTAGGTCGATACTCCAGCAGCTCTTCTTTGGTCTCATGTTCCCCAACCTTCTAGAGGCAGGTGAGCCTCAAAAGCTGTGATTGATGTAACCATCAGCGTTTGACAGATTGTATTCCCACCACTCTCACTAATCTTTTCCAGCGTTGTTCTCTATTAAACCTGTCTCTTATTTCCAGCGGAGTCAGCAGATGATGACATATCAGATGCCATGTTTAAGGAGAGCTGCATCACCGAGCAGACTCAATACTTCTTTGACAATGATGAAAGTTCCTACTCAGGTGTCCTGGACTGTGGAAACTGTTCCAGGTATGTGGGTGGTTCGTCATATGTGTACAAATCTGCATGTGCTCTCTTTTCAGTGACTCTGTCCACTCACACTGTAAATGGGTTGCGTCATTCATGATTTTTCACCTCTGACTCTGTCTTCTTCCTGGACATCCTTCTGTTTAATGGTCTGCAGGGACGGGTCCAGAATAGTGTTCGTTTCCCTGGCCTCTTTCTGTTTTCCAGCCATGATTTCAGGCAGCTGTTTTCAGAGGAGTTCCGATCAGACGCACATTACCTTGATCTGTCAGTGACCGGAATTGCAGAGGGAAGCACAAAAGCTCCTTTATCTGTTTTTCTTCCTTTACTCTCTGGCTATACTTCAAACTCACTAATACACACATTCACGGACCACTGCACATCCACTTTGCTCTAACCTCCTCTTGTGTCAGTATGAGCTGTCGGAGGGAGTTAAATATGGCTGTAATTACTGGATGTTATGAGTCCCACGTGTCTGGTGCTTTATCCCCCAATGTTAACAACTGTAGACACAGAAACCTTCAGTACTACCATAAAACGCCAATCCCCAGAGGACAGAAGACATATATACAGTATGTGCACATCTGCACAAATACCTGTGTGTATGCAATACAAACTGTAAACTATATATGCTAATTCAATATGTTGTAGATAATTTGTTATATGTTTATTGGAGCATGATATCCTCACACCACAGGTATATTACTGTATGAATAGTGTAAGCACCAGTATGTTCGTGTTACCATGTGTGCTTTCTAGGATGTATCGTGCTGAGAAGCTGCCAAACACCAACCTAGTGTTCCTGATCACCGATGCCAAGGCAACATGTTTGTCGTGTGACCCCAGGCCGCTACGGCAGGCTGAACAACCCTGTATCCTTTCACTCAGCTCGTAAAAATCCAACATCCTTTTTACTTTCCACCCCTCCGTCCATCCCCCTGATGACAGGGGAGGCTTTAAACTCTCAATACAAGGACACACACCTAAGGAGTTTGCAGTAAGTCCCCCCTGAATGTTCACGGGTGAACAGTAAACCAGATGCACGGCATATGAAAGCCTGTCTCACGTTACTCCCAGGATTTTATGTTTTAATTTATCTGTGCTGCATGCTGCCATCATGACGAAATAAGGTTAGGAGCAAGAGTGTTTGTGTGCATGTACAATATGAGTGTGTATGTGTATATATACAGTATATATATATATATATATACTGCAGCTTCCTACTGATGTAACAGTCCAGATGTCATCTTCAGATGTCACCACCATGGGGTCAACAAGTTGCTAATAAGGATGCCACTTAACACATACAAACACTGGCACTTAAATGAAACACACATGCTGCTATAGTACACATATATATATATATATATATATATATATATATATATATATATTAGTGCTGGGCAAGTTAACGCGTTAATTTCGCGTTAACGCATTCATTAATTAACGCAGACAATTATTTTATCGCGCGTTAACGCATTTTTTTTATTTATTATAATTTTTTTTTTTTTTTTTTTTTTTTTAATTGAAAGACAAGAGACAATACATAGACATAACAACAAGAGGATGACAAGAACAGTGGGATAAAAGCCAGCAAACATCCTATAGTCAGTAATTTTAGTGCACCTATTTGCTGAAATTCACGGTAAACGCATTTAAACGGCACAGATCGGGAGTGAGCGAAGGACTTTGAAAGTTAGCGGAAAGATTAACGTTATGTTATTGCCCTTTTGTTCATATAGCAGTACTTTTAAAATGAAAGTGCGCAATACACTATTTTTGAATTCATTATTGAACTTTGCCATAACAATGCGATTAATCGCAAAAAATCCATGCGAATAATCAAGATTAAATATTTTAATTGTTGCCCAGCACTAATATATGTATATATATATATATATGTGTACTATAGCAGCCTTTCTGAGTTATTTTATTTTAATCTCTCTTAGATGTCAATGCGAGATCTAGAAAAATAAATCAGGGTATCTCCAACCAAGGCTGATGAGTTGAAACTACATAAGGCATTTTAGTAGTCAAATTAAGAGTCAGAACATAAATTAATAGTTGCTCTTCAAATTGTTAAATGTGCGCTGCTGGTGGTAAATTGCTTTTTCCTGAGTATCTGTTCAGCTGAAGGTCCAGATCCATGCGAGCTGGCTCAGAATCCCAGATACCGCAAAGGGCCGGACGTATGTTTCGACAACAATGAAGACGTAAGACACAACCGCACATGTACCTCCGTACAGAGAACATTGCTGGAAACAGCTCTATAAATGAGGCTTCACTGTTGGCCTCTGTCACTTCTGTCTGGTTTTCATCAGCATTCTGCAGAGATTCAAAGCACTGCTTATTTCTTCACTCTAATCCATGCTTGATTTATTCATTCAGTTACTTTGTTTTATTTATCCATTTATATATTTGTTTTTTTTCAGGATGTTGTATACAATTGTCACTCAATTGTTTTATTCATCATGCTTTTTATAATATTTTCTGTCATCATATATCATTCTTTTTTTTTATGATTCTGCTTTCCAATGGCTGCTGCTCTTGTCTGGTAGGATAAGCCCTTGTGCCCAATCAGCAGAGGTTCTACATTGAGCCCCACACCTCTCTTGTTGTTTCTTGTGCTGAGTGCAGGGTCAGTGTCCTTACACAGCTTCATGCAGACTTATTAACCACTATGAGTTTTAGGGCTAACACCTGCTGGTCGGTTGGGCGATTGGTTTGTCGATATGCTCTTTTCCGACCAAATTAATTCATATCTTTGTGGGTTGATTATTGCGGATTGGCTCTCAGAATGGGTCTCATAGGTGCGGCAGTAATTAAAAAGCCCTGACCCGTGCATCACTTGTTGATAGGCTTCGAATTTGAACATGTCAGAATTGTTCTATTTTCGGAAATCATATGAATATGGGCAGGTGCATGTTGGTCGGCTTTTAGTCTGTTGTTATCATTTAGGATTAAGTATAAAATAATTAGGTTAAAAATTAATTTTACCAAAATTTTCTTTGGTTGACTACAGCCCTAATGATTTTTACTGTTCCTGGGCCTTCAAGGGCAAATCAGGTACTGCAATGGCTGGCTTGAGAAGGAAATGGCCCACAAGAATTAAGTAAATAACACACTGTGGTAAAAAAAACAGATTCATTTCTTAGTTTCATGCCTCTCTCTCTAACAGAATGCCTGTCTTTTTTGGCATCTTGTTTTTTTTTTACCCCAACAGATGGAAAACAGGTTGAATCTTGGCAGTAAAACGTGTTGAATCAATTTGATATAATAGCATCGTACCAGCACAATTCATTTATATTAGCACAAAACTATGTATAAATATATTCGTAGCCATAATTGTTTTATATATTTGTATTTTCTCTCAAACTGAGTAGTCTATTAGGGTTTCAGAGAATGCAATGTAATAGACCTGAGACTGTAGCAAATGCCCTTATTTAGATTCCCTTGAGGAGATTGAATGAAAGTTCATGTATTGTACCGTTTGAGGTAAATCTGTAAAACAAAGGAGCAAGGTGGATAACTTGTGTGTGATCAATGCTTTGCCACCCAACTTTCAACAGTTTATAAGACGTCTAAATATTTGGAAAAGTTTTTTCCCATATCTTTGTGGACTGAGCCTTTCATTGTCTTCTAAAGGCGTAGATCACACACATAATGGGCCACTAATTCATGTGCCTGCGTGTTTATATTGGGAAGAATCTGTACTGGGAAGCAAAGGGAAGGGGAGGAATGGCTGAGGAAGTCAATGAACAGAGTAAAAGTAGGCAAGCATCCCTTTTCTTTTCTCTATCTGTCCCATTACTTTTGGCTCAGCTCCTCATAGGAAGACAGTTTGTGTCGAGGCCACTCGTAACTGGAGGAAACAGAGGAAGCTCCACGTGGCAGTCCTGCCCTTTGAATACAGAAGACTCCCACCTCTTTCTCCTAGACCTTCGGCATGCACGGATATCCTGAATACTCCCATCAAATACAAAAACGCCACTAACTGTCATAGGCAGGGGCATGCACATACACACACATGCACATAAAGCAGAATGAGGTCCGGAACGTCTCTATAACTGCGGCAGAGCATTTAAATGAGAAGTTCATTTGAGGAAATACACTCTACACTTTGCTTTCTTGCTGAGAGATTGATGAGAAGATCGATACCTCGCTGGTTGCTATAAAGCTACCACCGGCAGCCAGTTAGCTCAGAAGCGAGATATCTATGCCTTTAATATGACAGGTAGACTTAGGAATATGATAAGAGTGCAACACAGTAGGATATAACATGATAGAGATCCATTAGATACAGTACAATCATGAACTGTTCATTGTCAGTAGCAAAAGTAGTGGTGATGTTGGTAGTTTTAGTGGAGCTACTGGATGTAGGAGAAGACGCTGTATCTAATTGATTGACAAATGATTTGTTCAACAGGAAGATGATTCTGACTGTGGAGGAGGGACCTGCCTAAGCCTGTGTCTTTGGCCGATGCTTGGGCTCCAACTACTGCTGCTGTGGCTCATCACATCTTTACAGAACTCATGACCCCTACACACACACTCATACACTCACACACCGATCACCTCATCCCATAAGAGGCCAGAAGACACTTCAGTTATGCCATCCAGGAAGTATGCCGAATATTTGCAAAAAGACATTTTGTTTTCTGACGACAGTATCAGCATTTCCATTTTCCAATGCCAAAGGGTCCGCATTCATTTCCTTTTCAATTCAATCCGCATTCAATTCATTTTCAAAAATAGAGACACATTTACTGTGCTCAGCTGCACTCATTTCCATGAACTACTCCTTAATACCCTCCTATGGTGCAAGAGTAAGAGCTAACCAAACCCTTTAATTCTGCCTCATTCGTTTCTCTGATTTATTTAGCAGAGGTTGAAGAGTCCCACTATGCCAATTAAATATCATTAAAAGACTGTATGTTCACTGACGGCGTTGATTTGTGTAGTTGTCGATATTGTTTGTTGCTTATTATACTTACGTATGAATCATAATGCTGCAATGATTTATTATTGTTGGCAACCAGTGCAACTATGAAGATTATCCCTTTTTGTTTGAGTGTTTTTTAAATGTACTGTACCTATTTATTTTAATTTTTTGTACTCAAAATCAACTAGCATTTCGTGACTAGTTAGGTGTTGTATTGTAGCAGCATGTGCTCAGTACAGAGCTAAAGACAACACCAGTACTCTGACACCAAAGCTCCACACAGAACCAAGGACCGCAAATACACACAGACCTACTACAGAGAATCTTCAGGCTAGTTTATTTTAAGAGACTCCTCAGACGTGGGTGCGCATCAGTATTCAAGTTACAATGTTAGCTAAATAGATAGATACAGTAGAAAGCTCGCTGAAAAGTAAGTGAGATCATGCGAATTACAATATGTTAGCATATTACAATTTCAATCTGATGCATCAGATTCCCAGTGCCTACGTAGTAGCTCAAACAGTCTGTTATCTGAATGAAGCAGTGGACCAGAGTTGTATTCTTGCCATGTATGCTTCTTTGATCAGGCTTGCTGCAGTATAGCAAAGAAGGTAGCCCTTGCAGTAATATGTTGTGAAATGGGCAAAATCTGCTGCAGTTATTCATATTTGTGGCCCAGGCAGAAGTAGAAACAATCAAAATTTTAATTATGGGAGAATATAATTTCCCTCCATGGTCCAAACAAACCTAAACCAGACTTGAGCTTTGTTTTCCAACACCTCTCTTTATTAGTCCTGTTTCTGTTCCCTTTCTGGATCACCAGACTCAGGAGCCAAGATGACTTGTGAATGAGATCAGCATATCAAAATGACTGTTTCATTGTTTTCTTTTCCTTGCTGTTCTCCTCATGCTTGTTTCCTCTTTTTGTTTTGCTCTATAAGTGCTGTGAAGCAGGCACTGAAAGCTCAGTGTCGTAATGCTGCAATGTCATGGGATGAGCTTGTTCTGTGTTTGAACGCTGTCTATGCCTATGATCAGCATCAGGGCCTGTTGGAGAGAACTTTGAGAATACACTACTACCAGTGGTAATTTTGCATTGCCTTACATTACCATGAGTCATAAAGGTCGCACTTTAGTGTTTGTTTTCCTTTTTTAGCGATTTAAACAAAGTTGAGTTCTCTCCACCTCGCCTTCATGGTGACCTTGTTGAGTGTTCAGGTTATGCCTGTCTATCAAAGTCGCGTGTTGACTTGTGTTTTAACCCGGGGGTCCCGTGTCTATGTGCAGGCATGTGCGTGTCCCTCCGATATCTGATTGTGCTTTATTACTGCACATGAATTACTCTTTTGTGGAACTTGATTAGCCTGAATAAATTTTGTATACATTTGTACACTACTACTATTTACTGTATAAAAGAGAAAATGAAAGAAAAGAAAAAGTGTTTATAATATGGTGTTGATTATTGTGCAAATATATATTCACAATAAAAGTGTTGTATTGTTATGACCTGAGGTGCTCATTTTTATTGTCACATCTGACCGCTTGATTTGGCTCCGCTTGGATCAGACCAAACATGTCGTACTTCCTGGAGAAAGAGAAATTCGCTAACAAATCTGTTTCACAGTTTGTGTATGAAGTACATGTTGGTGATTACTACTTTGTCACATAGCCTTGTAAATTTGAATTCTCTCTTCACTGACTAATAACACAAGATAATTTGGGAAATTAGGATTAAATAGTTATTTAACACCAGGCTGAAAATCAGTGTTTCACTACCCTCTCTGGTTGAAAGTTAATAGTCTTTTACATCTGACCACTCATAGCATCACTGTCGGCTGGGATTTTGTGGTTTGGTGTGTTCAGAAATGTGCTCTGTTACACGTGTAAGTATGTGTGACAAACAGGTTACACTTTTACATCGCTGCAGGAAGGTGAGAAGTTAAACCAATGAGAGCCTAACTATGATGACACAGCATGGCAGTGTGCTCTCACTGAGGTCATAATTCAGTTTTTTCAATTATGTGATGCCTCTGGCAACATTATTGACACAGACAGTTCAGCAGCAGTATGCCAGCCGCTAACGTCAGAGTAGTTGTGCATTACGAGCACTTTACTTTGTGGTAGTTGTGTTTATCTGATGGAAATCTAAGAATCAATACAGCCACGGTTTTGGGTGGAGAATAAAAAGACGTTTGTTTTTCTTGTTGATGTGTCAGACTGGGAGGTCTTCGTACGTGTGTTATATAGCGATATGTAGAAGGGAGGTTGTAACAGGATACTCTTGTAAATGGGGACAAGGTCGTACCCTTTAACATGCCTGACTTAAGAAGTTACAGACGCAGGAGAAGCAGGGACAAGTTCTACATCTCTTTTCAATTCATAATTTGGAATTATCCATAAGCTAAAAAAACAAAAGAAAATGCATCAATGGATGTTTTTTTTTACAATGTGTGTCTTAGTTTTGTGGTTCTGCCCTTTTATTTGTGACAACTTACCAACTTCATTGCTGACATAGTGGAACTAAAGTAGCTTAACTGAGTTAATTCAGCACATGCAACAGCATCCCTATTTTTCTCTTTTCTATTCTGTCCTCTTATTTTTCCTTTGCCGGGTGGTTGACAGTCAAATGTGACCAGAGTCATGGTAAGAGAGCAAGAGGGAATGCAATGCAATAAAGCTTGCAGGCCATAATCGAACAATGGGTTCATGGTTACGGCATTTGTCTTAGACAGCAGGCCAAACACAAAACAAGTCCATATTTTTACCATGGTATTTAAACTGTATTTTTGGAAAGAAAATAAAGTTGAAATTAAAATACCTTACCTTACATTTTATTTTCTGGTTTAACTTTGGGCTTCCATACTTGCAAGAAAGGAAATATGTGCACATGTAAATCTACAATTCAAAGATGATTACAATGGACATTTTTGATTCCCCCTTGGTTTTGCATCCAAAGGAATGTTTTAGATAACTTGGTTGAATTAAGGATTTGTTTAAAACTTGTGTGATAGTAAAACTCCATTCTGAGTTGTTCTTTCAAATTAAGATGTTGATGCAGTTGTCAAACAGAACAATGATTCATACAATAGAGGCAGATCATTTGAGTGACAGCTATTTTCTTCTTTTGTTTTAACTCCATTACCAAATACTGTACCCTTTTTCAAGCACAGTTTTGATGTTTTATTCTGCCAATCAGCCTTTTTATTTACCTACCCGCCAACTACTATATTTCTACAGAAGACCATTAGAGTTAGGTTCCTCAAGACAGTACATTTCGTCCAATCTAAAGCCTTCAAAGCAGGAACTGTATGACTCATTGGTGGTTAAGTAAAAGTCAGAGTGTCTTTTTGAGTTTGTTCCACTAATTGCAGGAAGTGACACATGAGATTGATGCTGCATCAACAAAATGACCCATGACTGGATCTCCAAGGATCAGCACGTCATTAGTGAACCCCTCTAAAGTTCATTTGATAGTAATACAGCATCCATTTGCGTAGAGTTTTACCAGTAAATGCTATTTTTGGAACTTTGATTGTATCATTAGTCCTATATTTATCCCCAACACTCTCAGCAGCCTCTGGGTCATGACAGCCCGAGGGCAATCAACCCAAGTCAGAATAAACTTCTGGTAATTTACTTTAGCTGCAGGATTTTTAATTGACACCATTTGTTTTTTTTCTAATACTGAAAAAGTTTACACTTCCTGTAAGCAGCAACATAGAGGTCAAAGTTGTTCCATCACCATATAACACAGCTGGGCAAGGGCATCAGGGTCACGAAGGTTCTGTACATCCCGTAAAAAAGCTAACCAATTCCTTACTGTGCAGCGAAGTCTTACAGTATTGTTAGTGACTGCTTCCTGACTGACTACTGTTTGTGTTCCTGTATGAGGGACACTACTTCTACCCAGACTTGGATCAAACAGTATTTGTAGATAAATCTATATGTTTTTGCTAACTAAATTGATTTTCTTTTGTCGCAAAAGGAAAATACAGAAAGAACACCAAACACACACTTGGCATGGATTATCAGGAAATGTCACAGGTTTTTCCAAGCCCATAAACATGACCACACACTTGTCTGTTCTACCTTGGTTTTTCCCTCTGCTCCTCTCTCAGATTGTAAGCATGCTGTGCGTGAGTCTGAGTGTGTGTGCTCAGTGTGATTGGCAGGCGTAACACTGGAAAACTCTGTCCAGGTGAACAGTCTCAACGGGACACATTCCTTTCAAGCCCAGATTGGGGATGATTTGTGAATTTGTGGATTTTAGAGCGGGGCCTAACATACATTAACTGGTAACATGAGGTGTTAGATTTGTGGGGGGCATGCACATTTGCCCAGGTTAAAGAGTATATGTCATTCTCGTCATGGGATCAGGCATTTGGTTGAGTCTCTTTCTTCATATTTTTTTTCTGAATATGTGAGTACTAGCCAGTCACTGTTTTGTTTGTATTGTGCACACACATGAGGATGCATATGCAACAATGGTTTACGTCACATTCAATACAATACAAACCCATAGAGTCAGAATAGTCATTAGACCTGACACCCTCATCTGATGAAAATAATGTAAAAAAGAGGATATTTTCACCACGGACACCGTTAAAGCTACTATGAGGTACTTTGATTTTTATGTTGATTTTGGTGGTCCCTGTGAACTAAAGCGGCAGTGTTTCAGGGCACCAGACTCCCTTCAAAAAATATCTTATTTCAGCAGGGTCTGACAGTCTGCCCCGCTTAGTCCTGGTTCTGGATCTCACGTGACAATTCCTTCCCTACAGCAGGCCCAGCAATATGGCCTTGGCCTCCAGCAGTGTGCTGTCGGTGTTGGCTCGCTGCAGGGACCGGCAGAGCAGCGAGGCGAATCTCTGCTCCTGGCCGGAGGAGGAGCCGCTACTGCCTTCGACCTGCAGGGGCTCGAGGGGCTAGGGCTGTTCACTGCCGGCGGCCGAATCTGAGCTGCTGGAGTTTCTGGTGAAACTGCATCCATATTTTGTTCATCATTCAAACTTCAATAAACAAGTTTAAGGGGTGAATAGATTGTGACCACTCATAGCACCATGAATTGTGTATCATTTGCAAATGCTATCCGCCTTGTCTCAAGGTGGAATTCACAAAAGATATTATGCTAATGATATTACAGCGCAAACATAACGTTTTGTAACTAAATTAAATTTGCCCTTTTTGCGGGGGAAAGGGAAGAAATAATTAGTTTATTCTTTTATAAAATATCCATATTTTTCATTAATTTGGTCTCATCTATTTTCAAAAATGACATTTACAGTTACCACTAACTCTGTGAAGATGCTAATAATGTCGTAACTGCGTGTGGCTATAAGTGCTGCTCTTGTGAATTGGACTGTTATTGCATGAGGTCAAATTGCATAGAGAGGGGCATATTTTATGCCAAATGTGCAAACCATATTACCTCATTTACATAGGCTAGTGCAGAGGAGCAACAAGAATATGTTTGCTTGGCAGCACAATTATGGGTGCATTTCACCCTTTGCAGGTTGTTAGAGAATTACACAGTTTCTTTTTGTCTTATTTGTGCAGGTTTAGCCACCGCAAAAGCCGCACTATTCTTTGTCTCTTACTCTTACGGTCTACAGCAATAAGAGAGGACACGTGAGGCTGTACTTTTTAATTTTACTTGTTTTGTTAGCATACTTAACATGCTAACATTTGTCAAGTACCTAACACAACATAGGCTGATGGGAATGCCATTTGCATGTATTTGATCATAAACTAAAGTATAGAACAAGTATAGGACAAATTTTGACCGGATGATGATGCTAGATGAAAAATGAGGATCACTGAAGTTATTGAGATTCATCCTCTGGGGATATTGAATGTTGCAATTTTGTCCCAGATATTTTGGTTAGGTGCTCAACAAATAAAGTGTGACTGATTTGTTAATTGACAAAATAGTTGATTGACAACATATTTCATTGACTATTCTATATCGTCATGCCTAATTATCAATCTCACTGCTTTTCTTGGCAAGACCCGCCCTGCGCTGTATTAAAGCGCTAGGATTGGCCAGATGTCCATGCTCGCCAAGGTAACGGCAACTCGATTAGTTCATGTCCTATGTCTTGACCAGTGAGCTATCCTGACCTAATTACTAGAGGTAAATACAAATATTGTTAACCGATCGTCTCTGCCTCAACCAGCTACACGGGCAGGTCTTGCCTCGAAACTGACTAAACCGAGCGCTGACTAAAGCAGAGCATGTCTTCTTACAGGAGAGCTATAGTTAACCTTAGCTGTTAGCAGCCGGTGAGAGTCCTGCACTGTGTTTGGCTAACAGAGCTAACAGCTAGCGTAACATTAAACACGCGCAATTGTGGTTTGTATTCATTCAGAAGTAGTCATTGCAGACACATGTGGCGGAGATATGCACACTAGTGAACTTTTACTTTGAGTTGGTTTTGTTGGTGTTTTTTTCATGTCTCGAAAAGTCTGATCTCACAACTGAAAAAATAAGTGAG